AAAAAAAAACCAACGACTTAGATATGCCTCGCATTATGATGATTAGACTTCATGATAACACACGATCGAGACAAACGGTTTTCTGTTTCGAGTTATTGTTAGGTCAACTAAGAAAAATTTTCGGGTCGGGTCCAAAAGCCTTCGAATCGGGTCGGGTTCGGGGTTAATATAAAAAATATTGAATCGGGTCGGGTCGGATTCGGGTCATCCACGTAAGATTCGGTCTCTGATAACTTGTTAAGTTCGAAACTATTCTAATTAATCTATATTAATCAAAGAAAAATCAGAAAAACCGTCACGGTGTGACACTTTTGACCGTTTTTTGTCACACCGTGATGTTTTTTCTGATTTTTCTTTGATTAAGGATACCGTTAGCTGGACAAGCAGCACATCAGTTCAATTTTAATACCTATATTTTTTTTTCAACAGAATGAAGTAGTAAAGTCAGATGTGCTAATTCGAAATATAACATTTTTAGGTGCCCCAATTACATCTTTGATTAGATAGAGTCTTATTTACACTTCTATAGTCAATAAAACATTCAACCTTCAGTTTAGCACATGTATTTTATTGAGCATATACTTTTTTATTATATAGCATGATTTTTTGGTGTCGGTGCTAGCGATGTAATGTTAACATCTAAAAATGTCATATTTCGATTTAGGGCATTTGACTCTGCTAGACACAGGAAATTTCATTCAAATCCCAGAGTCACACTTGAAGATGTTTTTCGTTCGTAAATCCTCGAATACAGATATTACAATGGAATTTAATTAAAATTTCCCTAGTGGATCTTATAATTTCAACCAACAGAGAATAAAATTTTAATGCACATTATAGTGGAATTTTAAATTGAGAAAATTATTATGCAGCAAAAAGTCACATAAATATTTCGGAATAGTTGTTCATACAGAACAATAGATCGATAAACATTAATATCATAAACCACATTCGTGTCGTTCAAATTTAGCAATTTTAAATACTTGTTTACCCAGAAATTGAATTATACAGTGCCCCAAAACAAATGGCATGACTCAAAATACAATAACCTGTGGTGTTCTGTTTCTTTTGTATACAATCGGCAAAAAAATGGAACTGACTGTGATAATTTTTATTACACCATCAGGTACCTGCGTTCACAAACTGAATACGAAATATTTTTTACTGATGAGCAAAAAAAATCAAAAAAAAGCATCACACCAAATTCTGCTATAGAAGATATCTCAAATATCTCAAGTGTCTCAGATATACCAGACATCTCAATACGCGTATTACGCATATATTTGCAAATTAACGGTTTATTGAAAACGGTAAAGCAGTACATCATTCGACGGAAGTTTCCGAAAAGAGATAGCGCTACAAATTCCTGTATTTGTCTTTTCAAAATGTTACCAATAAGCAGTTATTTGTACTCGGTTTTAGGTAAACGGGATTTCTACTCTGGANCACACATATTTTGTGCTAAAAATCTCGGTTTGTCAGGTGGTACACCTGACTGTAAAAGAGATGAGGTTGTCAGATTCTGAACCTCCAATGGATTCTTAATTTCAACATGGTGACTAGATAGCCCAAAATGTTTTCTACAATTCTGTGCAAGACCGACCTCTCTATCTATGCGGTTCTCGAATACCAGAACTCTCTATCTCTTTTCGCTCTCTTGTTATTCTAGAAAAATCCATGACCAGTCTATTCAGAAATCCAGAGTAGAAATCCCGTTTACCTAAAACCGAGTACAAATAACTGCTTATTGGTAACATTTTGAAAAGACAAATACAGGAATTTGTAGCGCTATCTCTTTTCGGAAACCTCCGTCGAATGATGTACTGCTTTACCGTTTTCAATAAACCGTTAATTTGCAAATAAAAGGGTAAGGTACCAGAGTGATATTAATTAGTATTCATTAGCATTGATTAATTATAAATTATTGTCTCAAAAAAACGTTTTTCAAAACTTTTTTCATCATATCGGAACAACAGACCATTGGCTATCGAGCAATGAATGAATGACTTTTCTACGATTATTTTTGACTGAGCTACAAGTTTTTTAAAATGAGGACTAGGGCTTTAGATTTTAATGAAAATTAAAATTTAATTAATTAATAACTCTAGGAGTACTTGCCAGTTCACCGAAAGAACTTAAGAATATATGTAGTTAGTTGTCCTCTTTAAACTGGCAAAGCTTGAAGGTACATATAGGAGGGAGCCCCCCTTAAATATGCATGAGCACTACAAAACAAAAACGATGATAGAGAAAACAACAAGTGTAACTTTCTCTAAACTCTCCTGAAGAACGTTTGCCCTTAATATGTGAAGATCATCTCCCCTTTCTTAGGTTGACCTTCGCCTACAGTTTCGTCACATAACCCATATTTTTGACACAAGGTGGATCAGTTCATGTGCAATGAATCAAGAATTCCCATGTCATAATAAATATGCCTTCATTTGCATTCACTTCTATATCTCAAACTTAAACTAGCCTTTGTTTGATACGATGACGCTATTATCTAAGTATGCACTGGAATCTGTATGTCGAATATCGAACACATTAAAAAATTTTTGCACAAGATCCTGTTTATTTACACAACAAGCATAAACACCTGCCATTAGAATCAGCGTACTCTTACTGATTTACTACTTCGTGGCCTTTAAGAAAATCGATTGAGTGCTGTATTTTCATTAATTTCAAAATACAATGATAAAATAATATGTTTAGAAAAACCTATTCTTATCCGTTCAAATTACCACGTGCAGGGCCCTATTTGAACCAGTGCACGGAGACCGCTTGGGTGTTTTGTGAGTTAGTGCCGACATGAATTATAAACTCGCCTGGCTCCCATACATACTGTAAATCACTGTTATAAAATTTCAAGTCGTCCACAGTAATATCGAATGCCACTTCTTTATGCTCTGTCGGTTGTAAGAAAACTTTCTCAAATCTTTTTAATTCTTTCGCTGCCCGTGTAACACTCGCTATAGGATCATGGATGTATAACTGAACAACTTCTTCCCCGGCATATGTGCCACTATTTCGTATTAAAACACGAACAGTTAATAACTGGTTGCCTGTCAAATTTGTTTTGTCGAGTTTTAGAGGACTATATTCAAATGTCGTGTAGCTTAAACCAAATCCGAACGGATACAGCGGATCATTTGAAACATCCAAATATCGAGATTTATATTTCTCCATACTGTGACCATCATACGGTCTACCAGTATTTTTATGATTGTAATAAACTGGTATCTGTCCGACGTTTCGTGGAAATGTTACTGTGAGTTTACCAGATGGATTATATTCGCCGAACAACACTTCAGCTATGGCATTTCCTGCTTCTGTACCCGGAAACCATGTTTCTAATATAGCAGCTGCATGGTCGTTTTCCCAAGTCAAAGTCAATGGGCGCCCATTCATCAATACTAACACCACTGGTATTGTCGTGTCAAATAGGGCTCGTAATAATTTCTTTTGATTTTCTGGCAAACCGATGTCCGATCGACTGGCAGCCTCTCCTGACATCCCCTGAGACTCGCCCAATACAGCCACAATTACATCGGCGTTTTGTGTTTCACACACAGCTTGTTCTATGAGTATTTCTAGTGATTGATCGTCTAAAATAATATCACCTCCATTCGCATTTAATTGATCGAGAATATCAGGATCATCGATTATATTCGCTCCTTTTGAGTAGACGACTTTGACTTCGTCCCCAACTAGATTTTTTATTCCAGTAGCAACACTGACTGATTGCTTCCAATCACCTGCTGCCGACCAGCTTCCCAGCATATTTCGTTGATCATCAGCCAAGGGTCCAATGAGAGCAACAGTTATACCTCGTCTGTTTAATGGTAATGTTTGATTGGCATTTTTTAACAAGACAAATGAGCGCTTGCTGATTTCTTTAGCAGCCAGACGGTTTTCAATAGTCAGAATTTCTGTGGCAGCTCTATTTTCGTCACAATATAAGTAGGGATCATCGAATAAACCTAATTTATATTTAGTTTCTAACACTCGCCAACAAGCCCGATCAATGTGTTGTTGGGTAATATCATTCTCATCGAGAGATTCACTCAATGTACGAAGAAAACCTTCACCTACCATATCCATGTCAACACCAGCTTTTAGAGCGAGAGCGGATACTTGTTTTAAATTTCCAATTCCATGATCAACCATTTCATTGATAGCCGTGTAATCCGTCACAATAAAACCGGTGAAATTCCATTGATGACGTAATAAATCATCAAGAAGCCATTTGTTTGCCGATGCGGGTATTCCATCGACTTCGTTGAATGAAGTCATCACACTTCCAACATCAGCATCAACGGCTGCCTGATATGGTGGTAAATAATCCTGATACATTCTAATACGACTCATATCGACAGTATTGTAGTCTCTGCCACCTTCCGCCCCACCATATAAAGCAAAATGTTTCACACATGCCATTACTGTATCTTTTTTCATCAAATCATCACCTTGATAACCACGTACCATTGCTTTAGCTATTTGTGATCCCAGCCATGGATCTTCACCAGATCCTTCTGATATTCGTCCCCAGCGTGGATCTCGAGTAATGTCAACCATGGGTGAAAATACCCATTGTAATCCATCAGCACTTGCTTCTCGAGCAGCAATCCTTGCACTCTGTTCAATGAGCTTCATATCCCATGTGCTACTCAAGCCTAATGCAATCGGAAAAATGGTTCGATGACCATGAATGACATCGTATCCAAATATAAGCGGAATATGTAAACGACTAGAGTTAACTGCTAATTCTTGTATTTTACGAACGGCAATGGGAGTATACGTATTGAAAACACCACCAACTAGTCCGTTACGAATATTTTCGTCAACATTTTGACTAACAATCGGTCCTGTTATATCAAATCCTAATGAGACCAAATTGAGTTGACCAATTTTTTCCTCTCGAGTCATTTGCTGCATCAATCTGGTGATTTTATCATTCATTTCTTTCTTCTTAATGCCGCTTTGTTCACCAACATTTATTCCACAGAGAAAGCAGAAAATCGCTATAGAAACCATTAACTGCAGCGTTGCATGTCTTACGGTCATGTTGAAAATTTTTATTTGAAAATCATATATTTCCCCAAATAATGAACTTACAATTGTTATTATTTTCAAAAAGGTGACATACAACATAATCCAACACCTCGAACTTTCTTAAAGATTAACTTCTAAGAAGATAATCCATTAAAAAAGTAAAAAACAAAAATGACAAACTGAAAATGTGACGACATTTTGCCCACCGAAAAACAAACTTATCGATACAGTGTATTTTTCAGAACAAAAAAGAACATTTGAACTGTTCGATTTCTGCACTTGAACGGGTAGAAGCTTAGAATTCTGGTGTCCTATTACCAGTTTCTTATCAAGAAGACTCTTTCCAATAAGCATCAAGTTGTTTAATAAATAATTGTCGTTTTTCTTCTTCGATAAATGATGCTTCAAAACCGTTACACATAATTTTGTAAATATCCTTCTGATCCAGATGAAACGCATCCGTAACGGCAAGGTAATTTGCATTCAGATAACCGCCAAAGTAAGCCGGATCATCGGAATTAATTGTTACCATTACACTTGAATCGAGTAATTGTTTTAATGAATTTTTTTTCGTATCATCAAAGACTTTAAGTTTAATATTCGATAATGGATAAATTGTTAACGGAATTTTTTCATCGACTAAACGCTTCACGAGCAATTCATCTTCTACACTCTGTACTCCATGATCAGTACGCTCCACCATTAGTATGTCGAGTGCTTGTTGACTTCTTTGAAGGGAAAAAATATTTTTGAAAAAGGTGAGCGTATTATTGTAGCCCGTCAAAAGGCGAATGGTGTATAATAGTGCCTGTTTATTTTCAAAACCAGGGAGGAGATAGGTTTGCCCGACCGAGGTCTCAATCTGGATCTGACATCCACGGGCGGCGATTGGCGGAGGTCAGAAATTTTCCAAAGTCACTTGAATCTATTAAACTTTTGATGCTGAATTCAAATAAAATAGAGAGAAAATTTTCTGCGGTCCACAAAGTGGTGAAAACCTTCAGTTTCTCGAAAACAGGCGGTTTTTCGTTTTTCAACTTGTTCTGCCGTTCGTCTGACTTTAAAAAATTTTTGAAGCTCATATTCGTGATCAACTCGTCGAGCTCTATCCAACCATGTATAATTCGACTAGATTCGTTTTTGTCACGGTACTTTTGAATTTCCGGCACCTTAAAATTAAAACAGCTGAAATTGGTTTATATTAAAAGCTTGGTAAAATTAGTATAGTACCTTTTGTGCATGCAGTAACTGTTAGAATTGTAGTTATGATTATTGTTAGACTTTTCATTCTATATCATTTTTCCTCTTTCCTCGTCATATTTTAAAATATAGACGGTATTTGTGTACGTTTATCTTCTTTTTTTCACTGGTTTTCAGACAACCGTTCAAGATGGCCATGATTCATTTCATAATTTCACATATATTGTTGATATGACATATACGGATACTACACGTATCTACCTTTCTATGTCAATAGAACAAAACATTCTACTACATAATATAAAATAACATATTCCTTTCTGTAGTTAGCCCAACAACTCAATCAAAGTTTGTAATTTGTGTAACGCTGCAATCGTGTACAAAGCTGTAAGTATAGGTGTTGTAACGAAGATTAAAAAAATCTAGAGATTAAAAAAATGATTACGATTTTATTGCTGTATGTCTTTAATAAAAGCATCATGTAGGTTCGAACATATTTCAATTAAAAGTTCATCAACTGTTTACGAATCAGGCCTGAATATAAATTCAGCATTGTGAAAAAACGCTTTTTTAGTCAAATGGACGACTAACTTAAGGTGCCGGAAATTCAAAAGTACCGTGACAAAAACGAATCTAGTCGAATTATACATGGTTGGATAGAGCTCGACGAGCTGATCACGAATATGAGCTTCAAAAATTTTTTAAGCCAAACAAACGGCAGAACAAGTTGAAAAACGAAAAACCGCCTGTTTTCGAGAAATTGAAGGTTTTCACCACTTTGTGGACCGCAGAAATTTTTCTCTCTATTTTATTTGAATTCAGCATCAAAAGTTTAATAGATTCAAGTGACTTTGGAAAATTTTTGACCTCCGCCTATCGTCGTCCGTGAATGTCAGATTCAGATTGAGACCTCTGTCGGGCAAACCTATCTCCTCCCTGGTTTTGAAACAAAACGGGCACTATTATACACCATTCGAACCGCCTTTTGACGGGCTACCATAATATGCTCGCCTTTTTTCAAAAATATTTTTTCCCTTCAAAGAAGTCGATCTTCTATATGCCTCAGGTCACATCACAATACTTGTTATTGAGCTGCAATATAAGTTCAAAACTAAACTCGGTTGAAGTACGCTACTATGAGATGTAAATAAGTGTTTCATGAAATTTCATATCGTTCCACATCACTTTGAAATGTTTAGGACGAAGAAATATGCTATTTCTTCGCATAAATACTCTCTTCTGATCTTTTAAGTAGAATATCAGACTGAATAGTAGCCTTCCGTCCCGGTTGGATTAGGACGAACCTTGCTTACTTCTACTAGTGTGCTTATCACGGATTTTTTTGAGTTTAAGTTTAGTTTAGGAGAATTTTAAAAATTTTCCGGCAAGTTAGAGAGATTTTATTTACTTTTCGGAAACTTTTTAAAATTCTCCTAAACTAAACTTAAACTCAAAAAAATCCAACGACATCACGACACATTTCTGAAACCAATCCGAAATCTCTAGCTTGAAAAATGGTGGCGATATCCTGAAAGTGCGAAACCATACTTTTTCAGCACTAAATTAAGAATAACTGTGGGAAAACAAGTGAGAAGAGGCTGCAATTAGCAGAATGACTAAGTTACCACAAGGTACACATTGTTGAAATTTCCATCAAGGCTTAATGTACCTGGGCGATAATAGGTTTCTCAGTTGGGGAGCCCTTAAACGTTTTAACATAAGATACTATCAATACAATTTCTATCATTTTTTAGAATCAAGATTTCATTTATGATTTGATGTTAAATCTACCAACTACTAATCAATTCTGTATTACGACAAACCAAAATTCATATCTATTTTACAGAGAAAAGCTAACGGTCATTTAACAAGTGCAATAAATCTATTATATCCTATCTTAATTAAATTGGCATCCGATTTCATAATCTAGACTTCACTAATTTATTCAAGGCTATCCGTGATCAATGGCTTCATATGTTTGGTAACTGATGCAATTGTTCTTTGTTAGATGTGCTAAAACATTCATTCAAAGCATTCAGAATATCTTTTAATTCAACTTTAATATCGCCAAGAACCGAAATAGAGGCACAGATTCTGTCTCGTCCATCATTGCACTCTTTCCTTGTATCCAACAGAATGGTCGTCGTTATTCTCGCCATTCTTTCTCGCTACTTTTTACTATGCTCTTTTGTGTGCATAGATGCAGCTGTTGTGATGCATTATCCATCTCGCCTACTCTCTCATTGGATTCCCACCGATATCGTGGTATCACCAATCAATCAACATATATTCATTGCTGATATGACGTTTAATAGAATTTTACACTTATCACCTCAGGCTATTTATCTATCAACACTTAGCTTACCTATTGAGCAATCAAAAGCTTACTCCCCAGTGAAGTTATCTGTAGATTTAGATGGTTATTTATATGTTGCAACTGGTGCTTCCGGTTCGTTTGCAATGATATATACTTATACAACTACGAACGATCAACTAATTCAAAATATCTCTTTACCTCTCTTTATTCCCGCAGCATTAACTGTTTCGTCTATCAATGGTGATATCTATATAGCAACTACAGATAGTAAGGATACATCTGTATATGTCTTAGATAAAAATGGTGCACAAATTAATAAATTCAACGCATCAAACTTCTCACCGCCACTTAGTCAACCTACATCATTAACTATGGACGGGACAGCCCAAAGATTATATGTTGCTGATAGAAACGATTCATCGACTGGCAGAGTATTTGTAATTGACGCACAAACCGGCAAACAACTGCAGTCCTATATCATCAGTACTATCTATAGACCATCAGCAGTAGTAGTCGATGTTAATCTAAATGTGTACATTGCCGATATGGCTACTAACTGTATCGTGGCGTTAACATTAAATGGCACATTGATACGCACATATACCAACAGTCTATACAGTCCTCAAGGTCTTTCATTTTTAGCTGATGGTAGTTTACTTTTGTCTGATACATTGAATCAACGAATGGTGTTATTCGATGTTATAACAGCAAAAGTATTGCAAGTTTACTCTAGCAGTGATCCCCTATTAATTGCACCTCGTTTAGTTATTCTTGATAATAGTGGACAAATTTATATTAATAGTTTGACGGATGATTCAGCATACAATATATTAAAGAAAATAGACATTACTAACTCATCTGCTAACGTTACACAAATTATCGATCCAAAACCTCATTTTGGCTTTCCTGTTGGCTTAGCTTTGAGCCCAAAAGGTCAAATGTATGTTACAGATGCCGATGTTCCCTATGGCTACATTCATATTTTTGAATCAAATGGTACCGAAATAGGTAGAATTTCTACGACAAATCCACAACTGAAGAATCCTCATGGTATAGCAGTAGACTTAAAAGGAAATTTATATGTTGCCGATAGTGGTAATGCTCGGGTAATTAAATTACTGACTGATGGAACTGTAGTACAAACTTATAAAACAACTCCACCATTACAGTATGCTTATGATGTTAAAGTGAGAGATGATGGTACTCTTTATATATCTGATGATCAGTGTGCATGTGTTTATCAGCTAACGAATGATGGTAAACAACTAGCAGTCATACAGTTACAGGCACAAACTAATCTTGTCAATCCGTTTATTACTCTTTTCCCTTCTGCTGCTTCTTCTAACCCTGATTTATTAATTTCCATTACATATCCTTCACCCCAAGTTAATCGTTATACACCAAATGGTACCTTAATAGCGAGTTATACTATACCGGTGTCGGCCTTGACTGATTGGACTCCTTATGCTTCTGTCATTGATGAAAAGCGCCGTTGGCTGATTGTGGCTGAATCAGGTGGGAGAGTTATGTTCTTTGACTTGTAATCCACTTCATGTGAAAATTGTCAACTTTATACAATAATTGCAATGCGTCTGATTGTGCGTGCGTTAGAGGAATAGATTCAAAGAAACTGGAACGCGATCTGTTTTACCTTCATAGCACTTTCACACAACGCCGATTAGCTTGGATAGCCAGCCATATCTGTTCGTGGTTCAAGTTTTACAGGATGTTCTAAGTCATAGAGCGAAGAATGTTTTTGCTCAAAAATTACTTCATTCGATTCTCCATATCAAAATACCTATAAATATCAAGTTTTAGGCTTTGGAACTATTCGTTTCGGAATTATAAAATGTTCTGTGAGAGCATCTCCGATGTTTTCAAGACGTTGGGTGTTGTTTAGTATTTTCGACGGGGCTGAGGACTGAAACCCAAACTGAAACTTCCTCTTGGGAAATCAAGGACTTGGAGTATGACGATTCATCTTGACCAATCTCCGAGACCATTCTTAAATAATTTTCTTTTATTGATGCTAAGGTACGGTTAGCTAGATATTAGGCATGCACCGATTTCGATTAAAAATCGAATAATCGAAATCGGTGCGCGCCTCCTAGGCATGAAAGGCGCTTTTTGTATACGTTTTCGACTATGCTCTATTTCGTGGTATTGTCAAAAAAGCTTTATTCTTTTCTTTTTCGGAGTTTTGTCTGGAAAACTAAGGTCTCTAGGAAGTTTTCTAAAACATTTTTGAAAATAATTTTCTTCTTATTGACACTATCGGTGCTGACAATAGCTTATAGAGACTCAATACTTATATGGCTTCGGTAATGAGTCAGTTTTGATGCAAATTGTACAAAAAACTACTGTAAGACTCACAAATGTAAAAGTTCAAGACTTCCAAAGTGAAGCCTTCCAGATGACTCTAGCGAAATCAGTGGCGTATGCGAATATTATTCAAATACCAAATAAATGTGCTGACTTTGATTTGGACCTTTGGAGTGTTCCAATGTGGAAGTCTTGAACCTTTTTACATTCGTAAGTAGACCGAAGTCTTGTGAGCCTTACGGTAGTTTTCGCTTCTTACCGATAAAGTTTCCAAAGCTGGAACCGGTTGAGAAAAAGTAAGCCGGCCCGGTCGGGTCGGTTGGAATTATAACTCAAACCGGCGAAAACGTGGCGAGGTTTTTTGAAAATGGATTTTTAAAAAGAATTTTCCTAAGAAATGAAATAGTTTTGCGAGCACACGTGAGAGAATCTTCACAATAATGAGTCTATAATATTTAGCCTTAAAACAAGTGATGAAAATAATGTCTTGAGCGTATAATTCTCAAAATGATAGAATATGGGTAAAAAATCGTGACGAAGCTGATAAGAAGGATGCTATTAATAAAAAACGAAGGTTTCCAGCAAAAGTGGTGTGGTTAGTTACTGGAGGATGTAACACTTTTGATGATTTTGGACAGAGGAACATTGACTTCTAAGCGGTATATCGACGAAGTACTTCCTTTGGCTCAAGAATATGGTGACCACATGTTGGGTGATGACTGGATATTCCAACAAGATGGAGTACCGACTCTCAGGGATCATTTAATTCCAAAATGGTATGAGGAGAATTTACCATAATTTATACCGAAAGATCACTGGTCTGCAAATAGTCTCGATTTGAATCCGCTGCACTTTTGCATCTGGAATGAATTCGAGCAAGTGGTGGAGTGGAACAAAGTTACATCAAAAGTCGCACTGACTGAAGAGCTGCAACGAGGCGTTGAAAGAATCAGAAAAGAAGCTATTTCGGAGAGTGTTAATGATTTCAGGAAACGAATGTATCGTATTTTGGATAACAATAGATACTTCCTACGTTAAGGGTCCCCTGTCAAAAAATGACAATTTTGGTCAAAAATACCGATTTTGAGATTTATACTTAGTTAAATAGCCCTAACTGTCTAATTTCGAATGTACTGTAGTCTGTTAGTTTTACGATGGTTTTTGAGGATTTTACAGAGATCTTTCTGAAACACTCAAAATCAGAAAAAATTACTTTTTTGCAAATTTCAGCCATTCGAAAAATATCCCGCCCGTATTTGTGCATGTGTTCTTTCGATTCGCCATAGTCGATTACCTATGACGAACTATTCTCAGTTTCTTCCTATACGACATGTTGAAGAAAAAAACCTTGATTTCTAAAGACAAAGTTTGTCTTGCGTTTTTCTTAAAATGGATTTTTCTCTTTTTACCTGTTCGTGCGCCCTAAATTTCTCTGCCATTTTGCACGCTAGCAAGCGCGGAAAGGTTTTAAAATGAAGCGACGACTTAGTGCTACACCGTAACAAGCTTGGACTTCTTATTTTCAGTTTAATTTTTATTATGAGACACCCGGTAACCCTGTAAATGGGGATTGTTCGAAACCGATGAAATAAATTGGTTATAATGAAAATTGCACTATTCCACGATTATCGTACCGAGAAACAAACTCTGTTAAGACAACTTTGAGTTTCTAGCAACATCTTTTAAGGTAACTCAGCAATTCCAAACTGTTCATCATGATAGTCCTTTGGAGAAGATGGTTCTTCATTTTTAGTGCTGATTGTTTCTGATATTTTCAACGGTTTACAAAATTGATTCCATTGCGGTATGTCTACGATGTATCGTCAAGTGTCACTGATCTAAAATCTTGTTCGCAAGATTGAACTAAAACGTATAGCATCAATAGTTTTGGACACTCACCGTTTACAAGACACGATCGTGAAGCTTACTTGAATTTTCAATGGACTGCAAACGTCGCAGAGCTAGTAATGTTTTCATTATTATTCGGGATTTTAATTGCTCAGGAAATGGAGTCTGCATAGTAGTCATCATTCGATGCCGTAATTTATCGAAATACATTTTGTCTAAATCCAAATATAAACCATATCTATTATCGTATAATTGTATTATAAAAACGTTCAAGTCTATGCGAAAGACATCTTGTATCCTCTGTTCAATTTTTGATATGGTTGCTGTTGGACCGTATAGTAACGTTGATTCCATTCTGAAATAAATTGTTGCCATTCTTATCACTATATTGATTGAAAAGTATAGTGTTGCGTCTTCTATTTTCTTTCTGTATTTTATATCCTTTCGACTCTTTATCTCAATTAACGCTATCAAAAGCTGTGCAAGAAAGAGTTTCACATTATTTATAAATGTCCAAATAGAAAAGAAAAATCCAAGCAGTGGAAAAAGTTTTGTCAATTACATTGAGTTGGTAACATGAGACCGACGTTACCTTTTTTTCTTTTTCTTTTCATACAATGAATAATACTTGTATTTGTTGCCGTTGGCATGAGAAGAATTTGTTTAATTTCTTTATTACAAAAGAATAGCAGCTCACCAGTATAATAGTGGGAAAAGTGTTGTGCAATGAAAGTTTTCTCCCGTGATAAATATGAATTTTCCTTGTCTTTTAGTAAAATAAATTAAAACAGACATCAACTGATTTTATCGATCTGACACATTAACTAAATGCAACTGATACACATTGGTTGTGAAGAAGGTTACATAACTTGCTTCATTATCCACGTAATAACATGATAATCAACGACAAAGAATGTCAATTCAATCAAATTATAATGATACAAAATCTTAATGAACACTTTCTTCGAATCGCTGTGATGAAAAACTGTGCGTATTTTTTCCAAGCATTCCCATTACGTCATTATATTTTGATAATATGACAAGAGCTGCAGAATATTATTGATGAAAAATGCAGAATACTTTAAAATTACAAATACGGTTTTCTCGTACTATTAATATTTGTATTACTTTCTAAAAGATTATACATAAAATATATCGGACAACTATTTTCTATTTCTTCACGAAAATAGAATAACTGTATAAACATTTTTTTCAAAGTTAGTCAACGGCGTGGGTAGTGGCTATCATCAATTTAGTCGGTATTACTTGCAAAAATTAGATCATCGGATGTGACACATTTTTTTCTCATATGTGGTCAAAATCATTTTCAATCAAGTTCAGTAATACTCGTGAACAAAATGCAGAAGCAGAAATGAATTCAAGAAAATGTATATAAGATCTTATTTTGGTTTAAACTTTATTATAGAAGAAACAGTAATCAAATCGGGCTTTGCCCATTGTATGACACTGGGAGAGAGGGAAAGACACGAAAGAAAATACAAAATAAAAAAACAAAAAAACTAGATAAATAAAAAAGAACAAAAACAAGTGATCAAGTTGTATCACATGTTGACATTTTTGGATTATCACCGTAGTGTACTTTTAGCTTTAATATGTCTTTTCGCTGAAGAACGCTCGTGTTTTGTTGATTTTCTCAGAAAGTTCATGAAAATGTTTGACGTTTTTATATGAAATATACTATATTTTTGAGAGAGATGAATGATTGACGGATGATAAACAGATTGTAGCACTTTCTATAATCAAAATTATAATTTTTATTGAGATTTTTAAGACCAAAACTTCATACTATTTATAACTGATCTTGTAAGATTATATTTTATTTTTATATTTACTATTAAATAAACGTTGTGTACCGATATGGGGGTATTACGAGGGACAACGTTTATTTTAATGGTGTCGTACTAGTCACTTTTACCAAGTATAGTTAATATGCTTTACCTGGTATTTTTCAATGGATTGATGGTATACACAATAACTTATTTATAATGTCGTAATCAATCAGTTCGCATTTTATTAATTACGCATTAACATCTTCTATACTCAAAAAGTACAATATTTCAATCATACAATAAACTGTCATCACTTTTTATATAGACTATTTCTTCTAAAACATTTATAACAATTGAATATTTTTCTCACAATATTAAAACTTATTTTACATTTTCTCTATTATGATGATGGATATTGCTGTTGAGTTTAATGATCAATGCAAAGAAATTGAATTTGAAGAAAATGATACTAATATTACAACTAAAAATAAAATTGTAGATAGATTTTTGGATTCTTCGAATCCAAAATTACTTATTGATTTTAATTTCTACTCAATTTGGTGGTATTATAAAAAAGTAGGAAAAGAAATAAATTTAGATGAATTTAACTATCAAAAATACAAAGAACAAGTTCGACAATTGTCTTTGATTGAAAATCCAACTGAACAACAGTTAAATATGTGCATGTTAAAGGTGAAACCATGCCGAATTCAAGATAATCAAGAATACGTATTTTCTAATGGTAAACTATTATTTAATGAAAAAAATCGAATCTTAAGTTTCTTTTTATAAAACATTTACGTTTTAGTTAATAGAAGAATTGATACGGTTACTCAAGAGCAAGACAGTGAAAAAAATATTTGTGACATGAATTTATTCAACCATAAAGTTATCTATGAACAATCAAATATTAATGAAGGTTTTCTTTTCTGTACCATTTCCTGTACTAGTAAACTAAAGATTACATGTTTTAGTTAACAACACAAATTCACTAACAGACGATGATGTATATTCGAAATTTGGCCTATGTGCAGTATACGATAATTATCATTTTTGTAAGTAACTATTTATGACAAATAAACGGAAAAGATAACAGACTGAACAAGAGAAAGTCTTGTTGCACAGATGTAGAGTGAGAAAATTATCATTTCTCCGATATCTGTATATTTCTGTTGTCGTATTAATGAAGGCTTATCTGCATTTTGATAAAAATGATTTTTTTTAATGCTTTTAGAGCCAGAAAATGAAGTGGAAAGACCAGAGGAAAATGTAGAGTCAACTAATCAAGGTAAATAATAGCGAAATATGTATACAAATCGACTTTTTTTATCACTTTTTTGTATTTTAACTTAGATCAAAATGCTCTCACTCCTCCATCATCAACAACAACAACAATAACAGGTACGTTATAGTGTTGTAGTTATATTTTTTAACTAAAGCAGTTATGCTATTTACTTCGGTTTACTGGAAAGCTTAACCTACTCTGTTGTTTTTGAGCACTTTCTTCTTTTTTCTAGTTAAAACACTGAAAAAATTACAATTATTTTTGGTATGAGGTGAACGGGTATAAAAGTGATAGGTATCTAGACCTGTAGATGAATTAACATAGCACTTCAACACAAGCATACTATTGTTGTATTATTTTGGACCTGCAGTTTTGTTTTACTAATCAGCCCTAATTGGAAATTATTAATCTGTACATTACCCTTGAACTATCGTAGGTTCGAGTTATATTATTCTTGTCTGCACTGTGTACATAAAGTCAGAGGAGAAAAATTTGTCCTTGAACGTCTATCAAGCATTAGAGCTTCATGATCTATGCTTTATCCCATTTTCCTTATATATAGCAGTGAGATAGTCCTTTTCCAATGCTTTTATTCACTAATGTTATTTATTGCATTACGTTTTAGACGAATCAACAACACCGAGATCAATTCTATGTGGTTTACAAAATATGGGAAACACCTGTTTTTTGAATGTAATTTTACAAACATTAGCCCATACGACAGTCTTACAGGATTGGATTTTCCAAAACAACCATGTTGACACATGTAAGCATCTATCTTCCTTAGTCTGCCTGCTTTTCTCATTTGATCTCGTTATAGTTTAACGAGGTAAAAACTTACTCAAAATTTTCGCTCGTGAACAAAGTTTTTCAAGTATTTTAAATCGATGAAAACAACTGAGTATTTATTCTTAACTGAAAGAACTCTTTTTTAAAATTTCTGTAATGAAAAGAGAAAGTATTAAGGTACAATGTAACTCATATCAAAACTCTTCTTCCTTCAGGTCAACGTCCGATTTGTTCTCTCTGTTTGATCGAAGGTGCATTGAAAAACATGCACGCAAAATCCGAAATCAGTAAAGGGTTATTGCAGCCAACTGTGCCAGTATATGCACCAAATGTATTTTACGATAACTTGGAATGTTTATCATCACAATTCACAAAAAATACTCAACACGATTGTAATGAACTTTTACTGAGTTTATTTAAACATGTCGAAAAATCATCCATTTTATCAGAAATTTTTGGGTTTGATACTCAACGTGTCACTTTCTGTGAAAAATGTGACAATTCATCATTTGCTTCTCGCGAGTGTCAAACAATCCTTGAATGCCCTATGTCAGAAGCAGAGAGTGAACTAGGGGATTGTTTAAACAACTACTGTGGAAAAGAATTTCTCGCCGGTGATAATGCATATGATTGTAATACGTGTAAAGCTAAACAAAATGGAGAAACGAAAATAGAAATCTGTTCGACACCACCTGTTTTGTTAATTTCACTAAAACGATTTAAAACAAATAGTCGCGAAAAACTACATTCTGCGGTCACATACAAAGAATCATTTGATCTTGACAAATGGTTAAGTGAAGAATGTTTGGCTCGTAGTACTAAAAAACAGAAATTTTACCATCTTTATGCCGTCATTATTCATTATGGCATCAATATAGAAAGCGGTCATTATATTTGTTACGTCAAAAATGAATTTAGTAATGTATGGTATGAAGTAAATGATGAATCGTTGCAAAAAGTTTATTCGTTGCCGTCTGTGTTCGACAAGACAAAATCAGTTTATCTATTGTGTTACGTACGATCCGATCTCAGTAAACCGATAATAACTAGAAACGTAAAAGAAACGGATATATCAAGTATGAAGATTACGCTGTTTTTAAAAGCTTTTTGTGTATAATGCTGCTTCCACTAAATCTTCATCTTTTTTTCTTTCTATAGCTGAGCTGATTGGCGGACGGATGGCAGATGGTGAGTATAACTAGTCAGGTAAAAGAATCGCCAATGTATTTTTTATTTTTTTGTAGAAAATCACATTGATCTTCCAGTGAACATCACCTCAGGTAATGATAGAACAACGGTTCGGCCGGTTTATTAAAATATTCTCTCCTTTCTAGATCTATTAAATGCGTTGAAAAATCTCGTTCAGTTTTATTTTGTGGAGAATGTCTACCATGAACAAAGACGTTATGGGAGATGCGACGTATTTGGAAAATTGGATTCAGACCAGTAAGTGATCTACTACCGAAAAATAACTAATTTAAACATTTTTTTCACTTTGTTTAGATCGAAAGCCTCAAGTCGTCTTTGGATTAAAGGAAAATTGAACGAAAAAGGGAAAACCAGTTATCCAAAGTTAAAAGTATGAGATAGATCAGTTAGCTTCTATTATCTTTTATTCACTACGTTTCGACAGTTTTACTTTAGTTGGGTATCCCTTCTGAATTACATGAGGCTAATTGGTCACTGAAAGTATATGTTATTACGGAAAAAAGTAAAATCACCGCCATGCATTATTTAAATTTGGAAAAAAGAATCTTGCAATCGTCAACTGATCGATCGGCTCCATTAGTCAATCCAGTCAAAATCAGAATAACACCAAAGGATGTGTTAGATGGAATTCATAAGTAAGATTACTTTTCCCATTAATCTTGATATATAAACAAAATCTTAGTTCAAGTTATTTTTGTTTAATTCTTTTAACTAAACATTTAGACTCATCAAAGAAAAGGTAAATCTTTCTTTTTTGCAGTTTACAAGTGTGTGTTATTAATGAGGGAAAATTAAGTGTTGCAGAAACTCTTCCTCTACAGTCGGTTTACAATCCTAAAACAGAAGAATTTTGGTTATGGCACAATTCTAACGTTGCAAATAATTCGATAACTGCTAACAAGCAAAAGATCGATTTAAAGAATTTCCATTTGGCCTGTGTGCTGTGTGTCAACGGTTTACCACTGAGATGTTGCATTTCGGATCATATGTCTCAATGTGAGTGACCTTCAGTGTACTACTAGAATTTAGTACATTTTCTGTGTTGTAGATGATAGCGGTACGAAAAAGGGATGCAAACGAAAAATGAAAGAATCACCATCAGTAATAAAAGAAAAAGGTATGGTACAAGGCATTGTACTATTCATGCAAAAATCTAATACGTTTACTATTAGGTCGTGTAATAGAAAAACAGCGTGAAGACGAAATGATGGTTGATTAATGATGCATTTCAGTAGAGAGGTAGTGTAGATTAATACTACTAAAATATATTTATTGAAGATTTCTGATTTTGTTAGTAGCAAAAATTTGAATGAAGGTTGATATGGATCAAGGTTTTTGTGCAATATATTTAGTCAACAAGCTTTAGATTCTTACATTGTGAATAATTGTTTGTTTTCGTCTTGTGAATCTAGGTGACAATTGATAGACTAGTCGTAAACACTTTTATTATATTTTAAAAAGTTATATTTTTTTTCTCATAAAAATTGTTGAAATTTCTGTACTTGTTTTGGGCAATTAATACAGGACTAGCGTGGACTGGAAAATTCATTTGACTATTCAATAGATAACTAACATACAACGAAAGTTATTATAAAATTACAAGCTTGATAGACTAAATGTGAAATTAGCTCATTCATTTTTTATCCACATTGTCTCCTAATTCAACTTTATATCTTTTATTATCACTGTCATACGAATTAGAGATCAGAGTATTTCCTTCTCAACGTTTATTCACTTTATTTTCCAAAAAGTAAAACACAAGGAAAGACATCTTATTCGTATTTTCATCTGTCTCTCTATCCAATAAACTTAACTAAGTTCTTTTACATTAAATGTACTTTATAGTCAGATTAAACACAAAAACCAACCTATATAATGAAGTCATAGTGAGCAGTGAATACCGTAGACAAAATATTTTTGCCAAACTAGTAGGACTCTTATAGAATTCTTACTAGGTTTCTCATATAAAATTTTTCAAGATTTCTCATCGACAGTCGTAGGTGTCTTGTAAGAACCCGATACGATTTTTATAAGAGGTTGGTTCGTAAGAAATTCATAGGCAGTACCAAAAATTCTTATGTTACTTTTCTCCACTAGAAAGCAGCTTATGAGTCGGTTTTGCCATTTTCTGGTATGATTAAAATGCTTCGCAATTCTTCTAAAAATAAATGCCCATAGCGGTCATTTCTTTTGATAACTTGTCATTAGTGATGGGCCGTAAGACGTAAGAAGCGTCATGTTTATCGTTTCTGTTCTTTCGTCCGTCGTGACCTATACATGTAGAGGATAGGTCACGTATGACGATAAGAGTAAAGAAAAGAGAAAACATAACATGCGACGATAAGAAAAACGTTTTTCTTACCATACGCAACGAAGCAGTTACGTAGATTACGCGAAATTCTTAACGTAAATGAATCATCCTTAACGAAATAGCGTAAGTGAGTCATTCTCTATATACTGTACAGTATATAGAGAATGACTCACTTACGCTATTTCGTTAAGGATGATTACAGTGTAAGTGAACATTCCAAGCGATAAGCATACCCTCGTTCCCAGTAAAAAAGCTGGACAATAACATATATATATATGGTTACTTATACATACAGATGACTAGTTCAAGTGAATTGAAGATCTTCAATTACATCTTCAAAACATAATGGGTGTGTTCCAAATTTCTTTCTATCGAAATGATCACCAAATTAAAGAAAGTTTAAGTAAAAGAAAATATATATAAGAAGAATATATAGCAATTAATTAAATTAAGAATATATAGCTAATTAAAAATTAGCAATGATTACCCAGTAATGAAGACAGGCGAGAAAAAGAATATAAAGAAAGTTTAATTTAATAATATACAACTGAACATAGAGAAATATTATATATACAAATATATACATATAAATATATTAATGTTATATTTTTCTAACCAAACATAAACTGCAAGTCTGATCTTATGCTGACTTTGCCGGAATGAACTAGAAGCTTCAGTTTTTTGTCGTTTCACTGCTAGAATGTTGTCGAGTGGCTCACTCATCACCCACGCCACCCGTTAAAGGATTTGCACTCTTCTAGGAAGATTTTTTTTAAAAAGTTTTTAAAAAATTCTAACTTTTTACTCTTGTTCCCGGAAATAAACATTCGAAATCTATCGTTCTTCATGCTTGGCTGCAAGATTGTCGTTTTTGGTTCAAAAATATAACATAACCTAAAAAATTCAACCGTTGAAATTAAACGTCTATTCTGCTCATATTCTTATTTCTTTATATTCTTTTTCTTGTCTGTCTACTCATTACTTGGTAATCATTGCTAATTAAGTGCCATATATTCTTCTTATATATATTTTCTTTAATTTAAACTTTCTTTAATTGATTTGGTGATCAAAAGTGTTATTTTTTGGTGATCATTTCGATAGAAAGAAATTTGGTGATTAAAACACATTTTCCCCTATAATAATGTAAAAAGAGTAAGCACTTATGGTATAATGGTTGCATGCACTTTCGATGAAGGACACTAATATTCCATAAAACTGAAAATCAGACTTTTTTCTGGCTAACATTCTGCTTCAGAATTTCTTATGTTTTTCTTACGAATCCCTTATGAAAATATGATCAGATTCTCATAAGACACTTACCACTTTCGATGGGAAATCTGAAACAATGTTATATAAGAAGTAATTCTTTCAGCGTTGTACCACGATTACAGAAAGGCTTGTCACATATGTCGAAACATACCTCATTCGAAAGAGCGTTTAATTGTGAGTATGAATATATCATTTAAAAAGTTTAAAAGCTCGGCATAGGATCTGGGGCAGGTCCGACATTTTTGAGTTCCAAGGGACAATTGGTACTCAAGTTTCTCAAAAATGTTGTACCGACAAAGCCGCAGCTTTTAGGATATATACTAAAAACAATGACACATTCAGAATAATTTCGAAGCGCTTTGTTGCCCTACTGGACTTGTTACAATATGGTGAACGTGAAAATCAGTCAAGCTGAAATGCATTTTTCGTCATCAAAACGAGCTCTAAACTAAAATCTAATATGTGCATTAGATTTCCCTTTATCTAATCTATCTGTAAATGTAGTTTGCAGTCTTTCAGGCCTTTTAATGAAACTTGCTGAGAGCCATCTTTGGAAAGAATTTTGACGTTTTCGATTTTTGATGGTCCTCCACGCTATTTTCAACTATCCTGCCCCAATTCCCATCGACCCCGAATAATATTTTTGGTTTCTACACATGTTATTGAAATTGACACATTAGATGACTGAAACTGTAATCTCATTAATGAGACTATTTTGAGAGGCATCTAAGAATTATTTACATAATTTCAACGCATAAAATGTTCGAAATAGAGCAAAGAATTCTGAGTAAAATAAGATATCTCGCAGCTATGACACTTTCTCACTGAACTGCAGTCGATTTAGGCATGGTGAAAAGCACGAAATTTTTCGGAAAAATAGCTAAAATAGTTCGTTGAAAAAGTGAGATATTAATGTTTTCATTGTCGTTCATATTCATCGAAAAACGCAGTTCTCTAACACGTCGCAAAATTCCGAAAAAAGCGTTTAAACGACCAAAAACAGCGGTGGTTTTCAAACCTTTAAGGCGTTTTTTCTCAATTATTTTATCTCTGGATTGTAAGCGAAGTTATAAGATGTGCGTGTTTTGAGAACTGGAAAGGAATCCAACACCGCGAATTCCGTTCATACCCTATGGCTTGAACTTAAATAATTCAATAAGAATTCACTCGATACGTACGTAATACGCAGCATAGTGGACGGATTTACGACATCCAAAACACATCAGATGATGAAATATAAAATTAAGCCTCAAGACACTGGAAATCTAGTCGATACAAGAAAAATTAATTCTTCGATGATATCTATAATAAAACGGCATAGGCTCATCAATATTAGATAGAAAAAATCAAAACGTAAACAACTGAAAATTTACAAAAGATCCTTTTAGTACAGTTATTACTGGGAAATGATCTGATGCATAGACATTGGATTTTGTCGTGTAACTGATAATGTTATATAGTGATTTTGTCCGGTTATTAATCATGATATAATCGATTGTTTGGGTTGGCTTATCTGACGAAAATGTCGGTTGACATTTGTTTATATTGCAACTCAGAGTAAATCCTTCTTGAAGTTTTCTGATCGTTTCACTCAATGGAAGCGAATTCATGTCTCCAGCAAGAATGAACTGTTGTTGAGAATATACTGAAGTAATTTCTAATATTTTTTTCACTTGTAACAGACGAACAGATTCATCCGATATTTCAAGGTGAGTCGATGCAAAATAAAGAGGATATTTAGATGCTGGAAGTTCAACTCTTATGATACCGATAGACCGTTGTTCTTCGCTAGTACCTAATGGCAATTCATATCGAAATGTATCTTTAATAGGAAATCTCGACAGAAGAGCATTTCCATATTCTCCACCTTGATAATCCATTGATTTTGAAAAGAAGAAATACTTCAATCCAGTTAGACGCGCTAATTCTTCAATTTCATTTAAATTTCTACCTGTTCGTTGTGTATTTACATCAACTTCTTGAAGAGCAACGAGATCGGCATGTTCACCAATGATCACTCGAGCACATTGAGTTAAATCGATCATACCGTCTTTTCCCGATGGTGGATTCCCGTGACGGATATTGTACGTCATCACTTTCAAAGTACTCCTGTGCGTAAACCATACAACATTTAATATTATTATAAGCCACACCTTGAGAGAGAAATAAACAATAATACTTTTTGTAGGATATATTATTAGATTTAGTTATGTTCTCGACAACCATATCCCCTTTCGTTAAAATATGCTGAAAACTAATCATTCTATGTAAAAAAAAGACTTACGAGACAGATGAGACAAAATACATTTTTAAAAAATCGGTTCCACAGCATAATCAATGTGTTTATCATTCATGATTATTAATGGTCAACATTAGATTGAAGTAGAATAAATAAACTTCATCTTCCACATTCTTGTTCAATATCTGAAACACAGAAATCATAATTTATAACTACGACTACTGAATTCGAGTTAGATAAATAAAACAGAAACCAAATATACACAGAAGATGGTATCGTTCGAACAGTCGCCTGAACAACAGAAGGCCTTGAGAAGAAAAAACGATTTACATTTGAAATGATTGAATTTTAACCTGTAGTTACTTACATTGATAGTCAAATTTTGCTTCAGAAAAGTTGAAGAGAAATTCTATATATGTCGAGGTCTACTAACAGAAAAATTCTAGAAATAAAAGAAGCTTCAGCATCAAGGTTCAGAATTCACAACACAGTATACCGGATAAAAAGGAAAAAGCGTTAATCATAATTTTTTTTATTTCAAAGTCAGTTTTTTCTTACCTGTACAATAGAACATTATTAGGATGAATATAAGTATTTATATTCTTTATGTGAATAACGAAACACGTGAAATGGTTAAGAAAAGAAAAAAAAGGAACAAACGATAAAGGTGCAAAGAAATATTTTGTAATAACCAGTTTTGATAACGAACGGGCGGCTCAGATTAAATGGGACAAGATCATTTTCGTTTTTAGGGCTACTCAGATACACTTCTTCTTCTTAGCTCCATTTTATGCTCATTCGATAGAGAATTGAATTCTCTACAAAACCTGCTATTTCAGTCTCTGATAGCATTTTTCTTGTTTGAGTACCATTCAAAACATTGAAAGGTGCTGAGTTGTAGCACTGCGACGTGCTTTTTTCGTCTCCTTTTCTGAGATTTTTAGCCCTTTGTCTGAGATTCAATAGTAAATTTTTCTAGATAGAAGGATAGAGAATTTTAACTCTGTGGATCTCACTCATTTACAATTTCATACAATGTTTTCACCACGACAACTGACCTTATAATTAGTTCTCAACCGGTTTTCAATTTTCTCAAATTAAATTAGTTTTCTGAATTAATGGTTTTTAATCGAGAAAGTTTATTTCTATATCAAATAATGCAGAATTTAATTCTGTGTAAGCTAATAAGACTAAAACCTTCGATTCCGAACGTCTTACTGCTTTCACAGCCAAAAAACTAAAGTCTGTGAAAAATAGATTCAAAAGTTCGGTTGTTTTAGATTTATCAGTTTATTACACAGAAACATTTTACCAGAAGACTTAACTCCAAAATTTTGAAAAATGTGTGAGGAGATGCAGAATTTTGCGGTGAATCTTCTGATGTTTTCAAAATTCTTCTGGAATCTGTTTTCGGATCAAAGCAAATATTTTTCTATTTTCAGTGTGTCGCAGTCCGACAACTTGTCGTTAGCACCATTTAATATTTTGAATGGTACTCAAACAAGAAAAATGCTATCAGAGACTGAAATAGGGGGAAGAGGGGAACTTGTAATTTAAACCTTCAATATGTTTATCAGGTAATTTATAAAATTCTTCCGTGAAAATAACAGAGGTGACACTTGAATATCTACTTAAATGATATACACGACGTTTATTTAAGTCTACATTTTTATTTCATTTGAATCTTCTATCGAATCAACTGAACGTAAATGGTATTTTAATTTTCCCTATAGGAAAAATGAAAATATGAAGTTGATATTATATATTCAGGAATATTTAAAATTCGTCATCGTTATCGCAAGATTTTAAATGAAAACAGCAAGTGTTTCAAAATAATTAAGTTTGGTTTTTGGTTATTCATCTTGCATGCCTGGAGTTTCTTTTTTGAGTTGGAGCACTCTTTTTGGGAAAAAGAGTGCTGCATCATACTCCTCCTCTTGATATTTTTTTTTTGACAGGGCGGCAGAGAAACTCCACACAGTGGGCAACCAGGCGGACATAAAACGAAAGTGTTATTTTTAAAAGTTTAAATATGGGAATAATTACTCCGGTCTTTGATCTATCTTGTCCTGAAGTAGCGTTTTCAGAAATTAAGTTGAAGGTTGGAAAAACACGTACGAAGAAATTTGTTCAAAAGTCGCGATCCTCAGATAAAGTTAATTTTTTGACCAACTCACTAGAATAGTATAATGTGAAAAACTATCTGGAAAGAATTATTCATCTATGAGCTCCATTTTGATGAAAAGATCATTTTTCTTGATCGTTCTTCTTTTCTAAGTTTTCCAAAAACCATCGTTTTTGGAGTTCCAGGACTGGCACCCAGTGACTATTGGTAGCCCTGATAACGGATGGACTGTAGGTAATCGATCATGCTGAGCCTCATGGCAATATTTGCTTTTAGAAAAAGTTCTAATATCTACCGAAAAGCAAGTTTTACGAAAATTTGCGTTTTCAGACTGTTTTCAGCTAATGTTAAAAAGTTCACTAATCACTCAATAAATATTAGAACGAGCTCAAAATTTCAATATATGGTTAATTTCATCCGCTAAACGTGTGTATACGATCGAAAAATCAGAAAAAGCATATTTTTGTTATTGGGTTTTACAGAAACCCTTAGGATTTACGCGATTACGTAGAAAAATAAGTATTATCTTTAATCGATAGCGATGAATTCTAGTATCACAAGGAGAATGTTTACAAAATCTATTTTGCGGTGTACCATGGCAACTTTGCACCATAAGCAAGTTGTTTGAACTATTTATTGTCCATCCAAACAAAGATGGTATATGAGCGTTTTTTGCATTACTTTTGATAGGAAAAAGTTAAAGAACTCCAATTTTCACCATTTAAAAGAGGAGACTTGAGACATATTTTCATAACCAAGCTCAGCTTTATAAAACAGGTTATAACGTGCGATTTAATTTTTATATCAAAAGAGTTAAAAGGTGGGCAGTCTGAAATCTGATATGATTTGGGCGGTTCTTTACTGCAATGTGCTTGTTTATTAATTATTTTAAGATCGTGGCAACCTATCTCATGATAACATGGGATCTCCACAACAGATGTTTTTTGTAGAACTAGGTTTTAGGGGACATTTCTTGTTTCACTATGTCTCGCTTTTAGCGACTGATTGCACGATTATTCTAATCAAATTTCCAAACAAGTTTTTTCACCTTTTAATCATGTTATTATCAATGATAATACCACGATCCCTAATGATCATGAAATCGCCAGCTTGATCCATTCCACTAGACAATTACGAGAAAATCACATACACAAGAAGTAAGACCAAATTATAGATGAAATAATTCTAGAGATCACTAAAGCTACTTCTGGACAAGCAAGAGGTGAGTTTTATTCACTTAAAACGTAACCTTGAGATTAGTTCTAGTAAGTACAATGGATACTCGTGGTACTTTAAATTTACCATTACCAATATTGAAAATCTTCGATTTAACAATACCAATGCTGCCAACGCTAAACAAAAACGCTATAAAAAAGTTTAAAGATGAATTTAAACAAACATTCGTAACATCTAATTGGTTGTTTAGTAATATCAAGAAAAACGAGAAGTTAGAAAATAAATACAATCTACTAATATAGATGTTTGTTTTTCATTTTCATATGTATCTGATAAAACACTGACATAGTTAACAACATGTGCTTAGGTTAAGAATAATCAGCTGCGAGCTGTTAAAAATATTTAAGAACTTCCATATGCTTCTACAAAAATACCGTTTTTTTTCCACTAAATATCATAAAGTGTGATAAGTGAAAGAGATGGAAATTTTTAAGCCTATTACTGTAATCGAATTATTTAATGCTTTTAGGATACCTCAGATGAGCTTACTATGTAGATTTCGAGGTAACTCCTAGCTAACAGTATAGAGTCACAAGGCAGATATACCTGTAGCATTAGTACTAGGGCTATGAGTGATACTCGATAAAGTATTAATTAACGATGCGAACTATTATTTGAGAAGGAATCTACAGAGACAGCTCCATTTATTACGCCATTTTGAAATGCATCAGTTGACAACATCACTTCGCAAAGTTAACTTAATGAATCTCAGAAGCTTCACCGTCACAGAGGATTGATATAAAACTTTCGACACTTATAGCATATTTTTCAAGTCGTCTTTTTAACAAATCCACATCAATCTCATTATTAATATCAACAAGACCTTTAATGTAGGCCTCTACTGGGCGTTTGTTTGTCAAAATTAGATAATCATTCTTTTCATCTGAGGAAAGTAAAAAACAAATAACTCTGATTTTAATTACGATCATACATTTTATTGCCTAGAAAACGGCTTGTCCTACTCATATGATCGAGATTATATGGATCTGTTTTTAAATTAACACATGATTGTATTATTAATATACGACGACAGATTTTATCAGGATCTGATGACGGTCTCACTTTAATACCAGATGGTGCGGTAAATGTCTGGATGCTTTTCAGTTCGTCTAACAAAATATTCACATCAAATAATATGTTTGATTGG